AGTGACCACTGTGATTGGCTTGCAAAGAATGGTCAAAATTGATAATCTAGATTTTGAGTTCAAAAATAAAAATATCTATCCATGCTTTCATTTCATTATAACCATCTGGAAGGTTCCAAGTCCGTGCACGGCACGGCACATGCATTGCCATTGTTTGCTGCTGCTCTTCAATTTCTCCTGGTACGGCGAAATAAACAACCAGCACTAAAATCATTATCAGGTTTAGAGTTTTTGAAGGAGCGGCGTGTCATCGGCAGGTGATGGCATGTACCGGGACTCCCCAGACTTGGGACACCCCAGACTTGGGGCTCCCCAGCCGCGGTGCGACCCTTGGCCAAGGGGCCAGACGTCACAGGTCGGTGGGCGCAGGTCATTTTGCAATTGCAAAATGCCCCACCACCTGCGACAACCAACACGTCTAACTGGGTGGCCAATTGGAAGGTCGTGAAATTAAAAACACCCCTGATTGGTTCCTCAGTCCCTTAAGTTCACTAGGATTCAGCCCCTTAAACAGTTTTCTTGGTTGACAACGTGTCAACGAAAAACATTTTCGATACAACAAGCCGAATGAAACGTTCAGATCCACATCGAGAGTGCGTAATCCCATGAACATTGTAGACATATCATATTTGTACTGAAACATAGAAAAATTATAAAGTTATTTAACTGTTACCCGAAGACGACAGCATTCCTTTTCAAGTTATTTCCCCTACCTCCAAAAACGGTCGTAGAGTCGTACCCGGAACGGTGTCGATAGAAATTGGAGCTGAGCTTTACAACCTCCGTTTTACTCGGCGCTCAAGGCATACGATACTAGCACCGCGAACGCGTACTTTACGTATGAAACACGCCATTTTTTTTTAAATGTCTAGCATTTTGTATTTGAAATGTTTATACCATCAATACCAAGTCAGCAAGTATTTTCAAAATGATTTAAAACAAATATACATATAATAACATTTAAGAGCCGTTATATTCTGTTTATGTTCATGAAAATTAATTTATTTATGTATATTTACCCTCAATTACTGTGTGGAATATTAGCAAATATAAATTACCGATATGAAAAGCTTCACGATATTTGATCCCAACTGTGGCGCTGTCGTCAGACCGCTTTAATTAGTTCATAATACGCTTCTCGTTCGTTCTGCATCCGCCTTTTAGTCTGTTGTATTTTTACGGAGGCTGCAGGAATGAAGCACTTTTAAATAAATATTTATGTCTTTTTTTCATTACGAAGATAAAGTTATTATTATTATTTAATTCTACTTCCAAAGAATATATTTTATACTTTCATAATTTATTTATGTTCGTATAATCGTTGCTAAACTTCTTAATAAATAATTGGTTGAATTTTGTATATACAATTATTCATATGTTTTAATAACTTTATATAAGAAATTTGCTTAAAGTAATTTTCTGTTTTTGTAGAATTTTGATTCAATTCCTCACGTATCAGCTGGAGAAGAACAGTACTATGGTGGCTCGGTATCTCTAGCAGATTATTGTCCGTATATACAAGAATTTACATGGAGAGCTCGAAATATTATAGTTAGAGGTTCCCATTGTCTATATGAAGAAAACAATCCTCGTAAGTTGTGCTTCTAGTAATTATGAATATTTATTCTTTAAGTTTTGGTTGAAACATTAAATAAATTTATCAATATTTCTAGCTTCAAAGGCCCGAAACGGACTTGGTTTGCATCAATTTTTAACTTACACTTATACGTCTATTCTCTTCATACATACCTTTATTTACATGTACTACATTCAAACTTCTTTTTCTTATATACTTTTTCCTACCTTCACACTCTTCATTTCTTACTCTATTTAATTTACTCTTTACTGGCTTTAGCCAGTTAAATATCTTTTCGTTTTCGCGTCCCTCTTGTGGTGTGTAATTTTTGTTTTCATTTCATAATAATCGATTCACAAGTGTTTTAATGTTCTCTTATGGTTGCGATGAATTTTACATATTCACTTGCTATCTTTCCCTCGATACTTGTTATAATTCTTTAAATTTCCACATCTTATTCGTACTATTAGCTACCGACTTGCATTCGGTTGGCCTTCACCAAGTACTCTAACAACCTATAACTGTATGTAGGTATATTATAAACAACATTACCTAGGCATAAGACAATACATTGTCTAAACTAAATTAAGTGAGCAATGTGTTAAATAACGTACATTTTATATTTTGCTTAAGAAATACATACATTTCCGACTTGTGATCAGGCAAAGTATCAATATTTTGATTGCTAATCGAATTTTCAATACCTATGCAACTATATTGTAATTCAACCTAACTTAATCTAGCCCGAATTAATTTGTAGCTTATCATAGCCTATTACCAAAAATGCTGATACGTCCCGTATTGATTAAAGTTTGGTTAGTAGTAGATGTAAGTTTGATTAGGTTAAGTGTAATTCGTTAAAAGTTGTATATTTACTTTAAAAAAACTTTATATCTACTTGTGAAAATTTCGGATTACTATAAACTGCATTTCTTATATATTGAATAATAATATTTCCCCAAGGCAAAGTATAAAGTACTAGTTTTAATTTTTATTTTGCCTAAAGCGAATCTGTAATGTATATTATGTTACGCACCGGAGGGGGTGGTTGCGTAGTCGGGGCTTAATTTCGATTCTGGTATTATTAATGGCTTAACCAGTGCTGTTATTAACACTGGAAGCCTAAGAAAGTAGACGCAGAGACGAACCTGCATATGGCTAACGGTGGTGCATGAACTGCACAAATTACTTTATGGCGGGGGCCATAAAAGGCCCGTACGAAGGTCCTGTACTGTATACCTGGTAGTATACAGAGCTCTGGACGGAGCTCTGCAGAGCCGAAAAGTAATTTAATGTTAATATTTGTTGAATGAGTAAGGCATTCCGGACTGCCAGGAATATATTTTTTTTCAAGATATGAAATAAATAGTTATTTTTCACTGAGTAAAGCCATTCAGGTCTTTCTTTATTAGCACTTTTTCGCTGACTAACCTTTTTTTGTGGGGGAAATCTTGTACAAAACGCCCCCAGCTCCCCTGGGGAAGGACCGGGGGTAGTGCATGTTTCTTACCTCCTAAAACCCCCACGGTGGCCTGCACTGGGCTTGAGGGAGGACCCCGCGATCTCTGACGAACACACCGGGACCCTCCCACCCATGGCGTTTCCACGATCCATCCCGGGGTACGGTCTAGTCTTTGACCCTCCCCCTGCGTGCCAACTCCGCCGACGCCGGAGGCCACACCAGACGCCGGAGGTCACACCCGACGCCGGCCACTCCTCGGGCCGCGTGCCACTCCGGGGCCCCAGCCCCTGCCACTTGCGGCCCAGCGGTTCCACCTTGGAGCCGCCTATCTGCGATGGAGGAGAGGGGCAAGCCCCTCCCCCCGTCCGGTGACCCTCAGGGATGCCGGAGCCTCATCCTGTTGGGGGCGGTGGGCAGAGATATCAGGACCCACCGCCCTGTCCTCCTCAGCTAACTGTGCCGCCGTCCAGGAACCGGTTTTTTGTGGCCAAAATTCAATTTTTCAAGTTTAATGTTTTGCAAAAATTCTTTTACCTACAAAGTAAGAACACTTTAAAACTATGAAATCCAAAATAATTTTCATTTTGGACGATTGTGTAACCGTGTACAACATGCTGAAGTCAAAATTCCGAAATTCGAAGTGAAACTAATTTTTGTATGTATTCACTAATGTTGTAACAACTTTATGCATATTAGTAGTTCTATTTTGATTATTCAATTGCGTCGTAAGTGTTCTTTAACTTATGTATAAATAGTGCAATGTTTACAACAATTGAAACTTTGCGGATGGTTTTAAAAAAATGCTTAAAAGTGCTAGCTACCAGATTTGTTTTATAAGAAAGATTAAACATTTCTTTAAAGAATTATATAAATTTTCGGTTCAACCTTCCTCAACTTTTAAATTTATACGAATTTCAATAAATGAACGCTCTAGATATTTTAATGTTGCGGCCACCGCGGTAGCATACGTATCGTTCGGGTCGAAGTGACTTCTGCCTAGAGTAATACGAAACGTTTTCTCTGCGAGACTTTTATCTCTTGTTAGTATTAATTTTTATAAACATTTCAGCTTCATCGTCTTAGTCTTTTAGTCAGCATGCTAGGCGAAACATCAGTAATAAAAAGTGTAAATTTAGTATAATTTTATTATTTAGTTTTTTGTTTATATATCAATGTGTAATATAGTGTAGCGTGTAGTTTCCATTTATTATAATTATTCTTAATATTCTATGTAATTAAACTGGTTAAAGCATAATTTTAATTTGTTATAAGTATTTGATCTAATTTATCATAAGAAATAACTAGCGAAGAGGATTCAGATCAAGAAACAGACGAATCAATTTTACGTATATTTAGATATTTAGATAATACCGAATTGGAATATAAAAATTAAAAACAATTATATTTTTGCACTTGTTTAGTTCTATTTGTATTTTAGTTCTATTAATTATATTTAATATACTTATATTTATTATATTTGGTCAAAAGTCGATTTAGAGACGTTTTTAATTTTGGCCACGAAAAGCGCGTTCCTGGACCACTGGGCAGCGGCGCCGCTCGCGATGATCTCGCGATGCCACCGGTCCAGGGCATCGTGTCGGGCCTGGCACCTCCATTCCCGTTCGACCGTCGGCTCTGGCGGGTTTTGTCCAGCCTGGCGAAGGCCGCGCAAGCGTCAGAAAATCATGGCGGGCCTCCGCCTCGTACTTGAAGCGTACAGGACCCGCCAGAGTCATCGCTGATGGCCATTATCCTCTCCACTCGCCGCAGCACAACTTGGCTGTGGCGAGATGCCATCAGGGCCTCAGCTCAAATGGGCAACCCATATAGGGCAACGCTCCGCACGATCCCCGTGTAGAGGCGGCGAACCTTCTCACTGGGCCCCCCGACATTGGGCAGCACCCGCCCAAGGGCATTTGCTACCCCGTCTAATCGGGGTGCCAGACGGTCGGAGTGTCTTCCAAAGTGCCAGTGGCTGTCCAGGTGGAGGCCAAGATACTTGAAGCCTTCACCCACCTGGACCCTGGTGTCACCTACCCGGACCAAGACTGGGGCTGTGGTGCAACCCCACGCCGAGGAGAGTAAAACCACATCGCCACGGTCTTGTGGGGCGCTATCTGTAGCCCCAGCCTCCGGATCGCCGCACCAGTGTGTGACTGGTCCTGCTTCAGTCCCGGTCGGTGGCAAACACGTGTGTGTCATCCGCAAAACACGCAATGCGTACCCCGTCCGGCACCACAACCCCCAAAGCTGGGTTGTACCTCACGTTCCACAGTGGGGGCCACATACGGGACCCCTGGGATACACGTTTATCGAGGCCCCGCTTGTAAGTGCGTCCGTCCGAGCCCACATACTCGATGAACCTATCCCGTAGGTAGGCCCCGATCATCCTTCTCAGTACTGGGGGCACCTCGTGTTCTATGAATGCCCCCATTATTATCGTCCCATGGGGCAGAGTGTTACAGGCGTTCACAATATCTAGGGAAACGGCCAACCCCTCCCCGCCCCGGGACGTGGCCGAGTCGCATTGATGGTGCTGCGCTCCCGTTCAAAACCGTACTGCGACTCGACCAGATCAGGGACTACCCGGGATAGGTGCTCGGCGATGCGGTCAGCTATCACGCGTTCCAAAAGCTTCCCGACCTTGTCGAACAACACGATGGCCCGGTACGCGGAGGAGCTCTCTTCCATCTGTAGCAGGACCAGTCGTCTTACCTTCCACTCATGAGGGAAGACTCCTTCCTTCAGACAGGCGCTGAAGAGGCGCCTTAATCGCGGTCCAAGGACGCGAAGGGCCAACACCCAGGCTCGGCCGCGGACGTCGTCGGGGCCCGGAGCGGTGTTCCGGGCCCCCATGCGTTTCATTGCTTCGGCCAGCTCCCCCTCCGTGACCCCCATGTCGTCGGTCCATTCGACATGGACCGGCGCGGGCCAGGGGTGATCACTCTCGCCGCGAGGAAACAACGCATCCACCACCCGGCCCAAGAACTGGGGGTCCAGCTTGCCCATCACCCACTTATGAGGGCGTCCCCACGGATCGTCGTCGAGAGAGCCGAGGAGCTCTTGTCACGCCCGGGATTTGGCCTCTCTGATGACTCTTCATACAGCTCTTCCTCCTCCGCTCGGTCGCGGATCCTTCTCCGACGGGCCCTTTGCCACTGGCGCCGGGCGACATCACAGTTCTGCCGAATGTCGGCGATTTCGCCCGATCACCAGTAGGCGGTCCGTCTGGGAAGGCATTTGGCCCGGGGCATGGCGACGTCTCAAACCACCTTCATCGTGCCCCGGAATCATTTCACCTCCTCCCCTATATCCGCAACCGTATCGACCGGTTGCTCCGGCCAGGTCACAGCGAGGGCTGCGGCCCTCAGCGCGTCACTGTCAAGCCTCTTCAGCGCCCATCTCTGCAACGGTGGGACGCTCGGCGGGCGGCGCGCGGTTGTGGAGCTAAATCCGTGGCGGATGCAGCAATGGTCGCTTAGCGACTCCGCCTCCTCTACCACCCTCGAACTCCGCACCATGCGTGCGGCCCACGGAGTCGCGAACGATAAGT